CTTCTAGAGCATAGAACTGTTAATTATATGTTCTCCTACTGTAAAGGCAAATAAAACATGGGCTGTAGGAGGTGTTTCTCATTATTCTGTTAATCTACCCAAGAATGCATGGATGCTCTAATGTGGTATACTGCCAATGGTAATGTTGTTATCAAAACAAGGCAATTAATGAACATTACAATGTGACTATCTCTTAAAAATTACAGTAATTACAAGGCAAAACAATTATGTTTTCACAAATACCTTTTTAAAGTGCAACACTGACCAAGATTCTTTAAACATTTGTGTTTCTTTTTGCTTGATGCTGCTTTCCCTGTATTCTTAAATTTAAGCTGGATGATAGAAAGCAATTCCCTGTCTTCTCTGGACTTATGAAGAACAGAGGAAAACCCTGTTTAGGTCAGATTAAAGAACCGTTTAGTCCAGCATTCTTTTCCCACTGGCAACCAAAAGGAGGCCTACAAGTAAGGCTTGAATACAATGCCCTTTCCCGCTTTTGCCTGCCTCCGAAACCCAGCAAATGATGTGGCATGGTTTGTCACCTCTGAATATGAAGGCTTTATTTACTCTGATGGCTAATAGCTGTTGATCTATTTTCCATGAATTTGTTCCCTTGACTGTGCATTGACTACTTTTGTCTGTCCTGAATCTGTCAGTTAGTTTTCACTGAATAATCCCAAACTTTAGTATTATGGGGAAGAGAGGAAAAGCTCTGTCTGTACTTCCTTTATATGTGCATAATTCAATAGACATCTGCCATGCTACCCCCTTCAGTATCATATGAGTTTAGACAAAGGGAGGCACAAACGAGAAGAAAGATCTGCCTACCCGTGGGTTTCTAACTAGGTAAGATTAAACAGTCGGTCCTTACTACAGACCATCTGCTCTGACTACATAGTATAGATGTATGCATACTGAGAGATACCAGACTATCTATTAATATTGATTTATTTTAGACATTTCTATTCCTGCTTTTCCCCTGCTCCTGGCAACTGAAGATCCTTCAGACTGTTGTTCATGCTAAGAGATATGTCAAAAGGGGGAGCTTGTCCCTAGATATAGTCTATGTCCAAACTACTTTTTAGAGACAGGACTGAGTGGATCTGTTTGCATTTATTTATTTATTTTAATTTTAGACTTGTTATACCTCAGAGCTAATAATTGCCAAGCCTAATGATTAGCTTTATTTATAATGCTCTGCACAGGATGTTGTGGGTTTTTTTGGCCATCGAGTTACAGCTGATTTATGGTGACCCCATGAGGTTTTCAAGGCAAGAGATATTCAGAGGTGGTTTGCCATTGCCTGCCTCTGCTGCACAACCCTGGTGGCCTCCTATACAGATACTAACTAGGGCCGGCCCTGCTTAGCTTCCAAGATCTGATTAGACTGAGCTAGCCCAGGCTATCCAGGTCAGGGCCCTGCACAGATTAGGTGTTCAAAATATTCCATAGTGTATCAGTGTGAGCTTCAGGAAAAAAATTCAGGGGGTTGCTGCTACCTCTCATAGAGAAGAGAACATCCATCCTCTGCAGTAGTTCTATCCTGCATAGTTCAAACACAGCATCCTTTTGATGAGACTCTGCGGCCACTGTATGCTCCTCAGTCTGCAGGTTTAGCATGTTTCCTGGTTTATTAGCAATGAGATATCCATTTCTCTCTTTTTTTAGGATTGTCATGAGAAGATACGGGTTCTTTCCCAGCAAGCAGCTGCTGTTGTAAAACAAGAAGGGGGTGATAATGATCTCATTGCTCGTATCCGTGCTGATCCTTACTTTAGTCCTATCCATGATCAGCTGGAAACCCTCCTAGAACCCACATCCTTTACTGGACGTGCTTCCCAACAGGTGAGGAGGAGAGAGAAACCTTTTGTTCTCATGAGGCTGCTGTGCTGTTCTAAAACATTTCAGGGTAATTTATCCTTGGCTGGTTCCTCCTTCAGCTCTTACTGGTTACTTGGAAACATTAATTGAATGCCTCTGGTTTGCAGATGGTAAAGCTGAATATTTATTTATTTGTAAATTAGACTTCTAGACCACCCTCCCCTATGGACAAGGCTCAACCGATTAAATAAACACAATCACAAATCAGTTTAAATAATTAGAACAGTAAAAACCATAAACAATACAAAGCAATTTCAGATGGCACTAAAAATAAATCAGATTGTGTCAATTTCCCCGTTGGGGATGGAGAGAAGAAGGAGAAGCCAGGCTAGATGGATGGTCACAGTTGCTGTCCTCAGCCATAAGCCTAGCAGAACATCTCTGCTTTACAGGCCCTGTGGAACTGCATTAGGCTCTGCAGGGCATGAATGTCATTCAGCAGTGAGTTCCACCAGGTCGGAGCCAGGGCTGAAAAAGCCCTGGCTCTGGTTGAGGATAGCTGGATATCTTTTGGGCCAAGGATCGCCAGTAGGTTCTTCTCTCCAGAGCATAATGCTCTTTGGGGGGGGTATACCAGGAATGAATGAATCTCAAAGCCAAATTATTATTCTAATGGTTTTTCCACCTCTCTTGTGTGACAGGTGACAAGATTCCTGAAAGAAGAGGTCTACCCAGTGCTGACCCCATATCAGAGCAAGATGGGTGTGAAAATGGAGCTTGCTCTTTGAGTTAGGGTTTTATTGGGGTTTATGTATGAAGGATAATAAAGCATTCAAAAAAACTTAAATGTGTGAATTGGTTCCTTGGATCATTCAAGGTGAAAATAGTCTTTAGATGCTGTGGGAATGATTCTGTGGCAGTTCTAGGAAATCACAAGGTCACCCATAACCTCTGATGGAGAATATACAGTTCATTTAAGGCTAATGGCTGCATCATGATTGTGGTTTTTCAATTTCACACTCTTGTCATTAAAAATGCTGTATCAGTTTGCAATTCTACTAGTTATCCAAAATTGGAAAACTGTATAAACATGTATGGTGCCATTGTTTTTTAGTGCCTTTGCAGTGTGTTCAACTTACTGGCTACTCAAAAGCAGAGGTGAAGCAATTCAAAGATATTGAGCTGTTAGCTTAAAGTGAGCTGTACTGAAATCGGGGAGAGGCTGGGTATGGTTTCCTGTGCAGAATTCCTGTGCAGAAAGATACAGAGGTTTAATTCACTCACATAGTCTATGAGGAAACAGAGGATTAAAATGATTTAAGTGTCCTCATGAAAGTGCCTGTCTGAAGTGCTTGATTTTGCAATACATCAATCTGATACCTTGTATAAATAATATATTCATGACCATTACATTGTTCTTCAAGTACTACTCTTCAGCAGACATATCAGAATTTTTTAAAACATGGGGAACTTCTGTTTGCAAAAAGGAAAAATATTTAAACCTATATATAAAGCTTTTTACAAACTTAATATTTTACTACATTATTGAAGAGTTCCCAACTATATTGAAATGCTATTTTGTATATAGGTGGCCTTGTCTCCTACTGATAGTTCCCTTGCCTGTCATGCTTTCTGTAAATCATGATTCATGCAGAAATATGTACAGATTTAATTAATTGTTTGAATTTTAATGGATTGACTAAGATTTGTTTTATCAGGTTAGCCCTATATTTCCATATATGGAACACAAGTTTTATAGTACCCAAAGAAAACTGGGTCAAATATGCAGGACTGCGCAATAAGGAATCTATCAGAGCGAAAGAGAGAGTGTGATTCCTCTTTTGAATTTATTTAAGGAAAAATATAGCACAACTTGCACTCAGCCCAACATTCACTAAATTTAGAAAAAAATTAAAATCCTGTTTGTCTACTAAATTGTGCTCAAGGCTACTCCATTAAATCTCTCAACATTGTAAATCTAATTTTAAAAAATAACTTAGGTATTATTATAACTACGCCCTGCCAGCAGATATGCTCTGAACTTGGACCTGGCCCCAATACCATCAATCACTGCAGCCTGAGCTTTACTGAAATGGCCCAAACTATGAGATTAGCCTTAACATTAATTTGCTGACTATACTTCTAATATATTGATACTACCAACGTTCCACCATTGTCATATACTAGCACTTTATGTTGTGCTTTATGCTGTACTTTAATTATATTTATACTTGCACTGTTAGGTTTTTATCTGTTTACAAACTTTTATGTAAGCTGCCCTAAACCTGCTTTGGCGTGGCAAGGAGGGCCGGGTACAAATCAAATAAAGTAGCACCTTACAAATTGTGTTAAATGATACAATGCTGAAAAGAATATAAGTCGATACAATACACATAATATCAGTCTAGACAAGTGGTGATTAACCATGCTTGATTCTAGGTAGGTAGTGTGTTTTTTCTTTACTTGTATATGTGTGCACGCACACACAAATGTGCATATGTGATTTGCAGCATGAACTGAGATTCCAGCATAGCAATTTAGGGGTTTTAAATGAAATTATGACCTGCAGGGAGTCGTGAGAGTGTCCATGTAACTGGTGTTTTAAGATACTGCCTTGTTTTACCAGAGGCACCAAGAGCTCGCACACAGTGTGTATAAACTCTTAAAAACCGCGCAAGCTGCGCTGCCACTGAATACAACAGGCAGTTCTTCCTGGGGAAGGGAACTCCTTGTTCTAGAGGAGCGTTTACTATAAAGAAAGTGACGCTTGCGCCTTGCCGAGGTTCCAGACCAAACTATCCTCGGAAGACGCCATTACTTCCTCAGCGAGAAAGCTCTTCGTCGCACGGCTCAGGTTTTGCAGCTAAGTCTGGAAGCGCCACCGGTGCGCACTCCGGCCGCGGCGGCGCTGTAACTGTTGCTTTCGGAGCCCTTTGCCGAGATCCTGACAGAGAGGCTGCCGCTTTGCGAGAGGTCTGCGGGGGTCGCTAGCGAGGCAGGAAACCGTCCGCCGAGATCTTAGGAAAGGAACGGCCGTTGCCGGACAGGAAAACGTAGCCATGATGTGAAAAGAGAGCGAGAGAATTCTTCGAGACTACAGTTCCCATGGCTCTCTGCGCCTTCCAAGTGTCCCCCCGGTGTTGGGCGTGCGTCACGGTTTAGGTCGGCTCTGACAGGAACTGGTCGAGGGGCGACCTGAGAGCGGGCAGGAGCGCAGTCCGGAGGTGGGTGTCTGGAGCGTATGTGAGGAAACGGAGGCTGCAGGCTGAGGGACGCCCCTCTATGAGTGAGGAGAATGCGGGGTAAGCGGCAGCGGCTCCGGGAGCGAGCATGGTGGGTGGGGGTGGCTCGCCCATATGGAAGAGGCGGTCGGCGAGCACCGGAGAGAAAGAGAGGCGTGAAGGAAGGAGGCGGTGGGGTGGACAGGCTGAGGGTGCGAAGCCAGAGAGAGGCGACCGGCCACAGGATCGGCCCAGGCACGATTTAGCGGCGAGCCAAAAAGGTAGGTGAGGAATAGAATAGCTGAGCCGCGGATCCAGTCACCGCGACCGACGAGTCGCACGATGTCCGTTTGGAGCACGGATGGAGAAGGGGTAACATCTCCTAGCCCCGGTTTTCCCTCCAAAATGAAGACCGGCTCTTCGGCTGGCTAGGAAGCATTCCCTACCGCTGCCGTTGTATCCTTGGAAGGCGAGAGATCCGGGGGTGAGGGGTGCGGAGCAGCAGCACTGAGGGCCTGCCAAGAAGCCGGTCTAAACGAAAGCAAACGGGTTTGTATGGATTTTAGCCCTCCACACACCAGCCCCAGTGCAAGATCGATGGCGACACCTAAGTGGGGATATTCTTGGATCATCGAGTGGGCACATGTCTGAGGAAAGGTTAGAGTGCAGATGGTCGGCCTGCTAGTCAGGCAGGTAGGAGTCCTCTGCGGGTTCTCCTGTTTGAAAAAGAATGGCCCCTAATTTGTGTGTGTGTGAGGTACCCTTAAGGTAACAGCTGACTTATGGAGACCCCTTAGGGTTCTCAAGGCAAGTGACTTTAAAAGGTGGTTTGCTGTTTCCTGCCTTTGCGTAGAGCTCCTGGGATTCCTTGGAGGTCTCCCATCCAACTACCAGCCAGGGCCCTGACCCTGCTTAGCTTACGAGATGTGACAAGATCAGGCCAGCCTGGGCCATCCAGATCAGGGCAGTTGCCAATTTACATTACTGGAAATATTATAGGGAAGGGCAGAATTCTATTAGGGATACCCCTGTATGAGTAGACCGTTAGTAAGAGAGACACTTTGGGGACTCCTGTAACACACTTGATTCATCTGTTTTCTTGACTCAGAGCCAGAGTGATTTGACACAGAGCATCCTGTGAAGTGCTTTTCTCCTGGTTCTGCTGCTGTAACCTCTCCTATCTGTGCTACTTCCTGCTTCCCTTATTTACATGTTTATAATTTACTAATCCTTTAGTAAACACTGTAACTATGTGCTCAACTTTTTCAAGAAAGGAGTGTGCAGAAGAGATGCTCATAATAATGTGTTATTATAAGCATACAAGCGTTTATTGCCACAATCAATGCAGCAAGATCCCCAGTTCCCTGAACAAGCTGTATCAAATGCATATACAAGTCAAGCCATACAAGTGTCGTAAGGTAGCATTCCATCCATTCCCAGTAAATGTCCAAGTCCTTTTCCTGTCTAGGCTTGTTTGCTGGCATAGCCTTTCATGTACTGCCTTCTCTCCAATTAATTTGAGACTTCTTGGATCCCATTCTTGTTGCAAGGATCGGGTTTGAGCTTAGAATTTGCCAGAACTGCAGCTGCATGGTTTGAATTTTAATGGATCTGTTGAAAATTTTCCAGGTCAGGGTCTGGCTTTGATTTTTGTAAATTCTGAAGGCTGGTGCATGAGAGAATGAAAGCTAAATTAATAATGAGTGGCATTGTAGTTTGTGTGGCATTTTATGAAATGTGCATATTTCACAAACTGGAATGATGCTGATCTTTTTTTCATATACCTCATTGAAAGTTTTCTTTTTGTATTTATCTGGTGACTCACATGTCCACACTGCAATTTTCTGACTCATTTTTTTCAAAGCATGATCAGATTTAATTGGATTTGTTCAGTGCCTATTTATGCTCTGTCCATTTTTCTTTTTGGTAATATCTTCCTGTTTCCAGACTCCTTTTGTTTCTGATTCTCTTGGTTCTACACCTGTTACATTGTCTCTTTCCTTTTGACGTTCTTCACCATAAGAGATAAAGTACTTGCCTTTTAAAGCTTAATGCATGTTTACTAAAAAGTAAGTTCCCCTGAATTAGTAGGTCTTGTTCCCAAATAACTGAACAGAAGTGTGACCTAATGACCTGATCCTTTATTCAATATGACTTAATTCCTAAGACTGCAGTTCTGTTTACACTCACTTGGGAGTAAGTCCACTGAATTCAGTGTGCATACTTAAGTCTTCATAGACAGGGACCATTTCATCTTATGTTAGAATAAAAACTTGTTAGTCTTTAAGGTGCAGCAAGATTCCTCATTTATGACTAAGTATGCATAAGATGTTTATTCAGTTGGGTAGCCATGTTGGTCTGAAGCAACAGAACAAAGTTTAACTGGGTATACGGTTTCGTCTGCATGCACACAAAACCTTATACTCACAACTGAGCTTTATTGATCTTGAAGGTGCCACTGGACTCAAACTTTGTTATGTTTATTTATGTTTTTTATAGACTGCTTTTCTCATTACAGTGCCTACTTAGACTTGCATAGGAATGAATTTCAGAGGTTTGTAAAAACAGTGAAATCACACACCTTGTAAATGTCTAGGCAAGAAAATACTAATGCAGAGAAGGGAAAATGTACTGGAGTCTGGAATAACTTAAAAGAACTTGACTAACGCTAGTACAATTGTTCCAAGCACCTTTAAGGTCGTATGAGGAAGTTCTACTGATGTGGTATGTGTATGGTACGTCTTACTTCCTGAGAAATGAAGGAAAGCTGAATTTCAGAAATGGCTTTGCTTCTTTAGGTGTTAATACAGTGTTCTGTTTTAATCGTGATGTGGGAATAATGTAAAAGCAACTGTTTCCCCCTAAGTGGTCAAATACTTTTTCCTGCTAAGTAACAAGGCAAAACAAAACAAACTACTTGAGATAGAATAGATTTTATGAAGCTTAATATTTTAATTTCTGTTTGGAAAGCAGTAGAGGCGTGGTCTGTATTATTCAGATGGAGGGCTAGAAAAATCCTTGACAAAATTAACACCTAGGAATTTGAAATGATTATCTCCTTTGTGAAGAGCTTGTGTATAAAATGCTATGCCGGGCACTAGGAGACGTATTAGAATAAACCTCTGTAGTGATGGAAATACAAAGTTCTGCATAGTACCTATTGAACACCTGATATCTCCAAAACAGGAATCTTTCTTCATAAAGGAGAGGAATCAATTAACAAAAAAATTTTTACAGTTCAAGTGCCATGGTGGAGTTTGTTTTAGGGATGTAAGATACTGTTGCTAATTTTCAAGATAAATTTACCAGTTTCATTTTAGTACCAGTTTATCCCACTGGCAGTATGATGGTTGTGGAGCTCTGTCTTGTCCCAGAGTTAGCTAATATGGTGCAAGAAGCCTGTTTCTTTGACTTATACAGGATTCAGCTCCCATTTCAGACAGATCAATTGACACTCCATGTACTAATTAGTTCAATTTACAATTCTTGTCTAGTTTAGACACATGAGCACAGGTAGTAAAAATTTAGTGAAGAAAACAATCCTTCATGTTACCAGAGACATTTTCCTCTCTATATTTTCCTATTATCCTCTCTTACCTGTTACGGCCATCTAACAACATGTAATCATCATTCAATTTACTTTGGCTTATAATGTCTCTTAAACATCTGTACCCCCTCATGGATCACTGCCTTGTCGTGGCGAGGGGGCTTGCGCAGTTCAATGAAGCTGTGGGCTATGCCGTGAAGGGCCACCCAAGACGGACAGGCCACAGCAGAGAACTCAGACCAAGCGTGATCCACCTGGAGAAGGAAATGGCAACCCACTCCAGTATTTTTGCCAAGAAAACCCCATGGACAGTATCAAAAGGCTAAAAGATATGACGCCGGAAGATGAGCCCCTCAGGTCGGAAGGTGTCCAATATGCTACTGAGGAAGAGCAGAGGGCAAGTACAAGTAACCCCAGAAAGAGTGAAGCGGCTGGGCCAAAGCCGAAAGGACCCTCAGTTGTGGATGTGTCTGATGGTGAAAGGAAAGTCCGATGCTGCAAAGAACAATACTACATAGGAACCTGGAATGTAAGATCTATGAATCAAGGTAAGCTTGACGTGGTCAAAAATGAGATGGCAAGACTGAACATCGATATCCTAGGAATCAGTGAACTAAAGTGGACAGGAATGGGCGAATTTAACTCAGAAGACCATTATATCTACTACTGTGGCCAGGAATCTCGTAGAAAAAATGGTGTGGCCTTTATCGTCAACAAGAGAGTGCAAAAGGCAGTACTGGGATACAATCTCAAAAATGACAGAATGATTTCTGTCCGATTCCAAGGCAAACCATTCAACATCACAGTAATTCAAGTGTATGCCCCAACCACTGATGCAGAAGAGGCTGAAGTGGACCGGTTCTATGAAGACCTACAACACCTCCTAGAACTAACACCAAAAAATGATGTCCTCATCATCATAGGGGACTGGAATGCTAAAGTAGGAAGTCAAAAGGTAACTGGAATAACAGACAAGTTTGGCCTTGGAAAGCAAAATGAAGCAGGGCAAAGGTTAACAGAGTTTTGTCAAGAGAACACACTGGTCATAGCGAACACCCTTTTCCAACAACCTAAGAGGCGACTCTACACATGGACATCACCAGATGGGCAACACCGAAATCAGATTGACTATATAATTTGCAGTCAAAGATGGAGAAGCTCTATCCAGTCAGTAAAAACAAGACCTGGAGCTGACTGTGGTTCAGATCATGAGCTACTCATTGCAAAATTCAGACTTAAACTGAAGAAAATTGGGAAAACCACGAGGCCATTCAGGTTTGACCTAGATCGCATCCCTGATGAATATACAGTAGAGGTGAAGAATAGATTCAAGGGTCTGGATTTGATAGATAGAGTGCCTGAAGAACTATGGACAGAGGTTCGTGACATCGTACAGGAGGCAGCAATCACCACCATCCCAAAGAAAAAGAAATGTAAGAAAGCAAAGTGGCTTTCTGATGAGGCTTTACAAATAGCAGAGGAAAGAAGGAAAGCGAAAGGCAAAGGCGAAAAGGAAAGATTTACCCAACTGAAC